CGACTCGTGCGGGCAGGATCTCATCCTCCTCAAGCTGTCCAGCCCAGCTCCGAAAGAGTGGAGGGTGGTAGAGCTTCCTCTCGGCCCGCTCCCCTCCACGAAGCGGCTGTGGACCGCGCAGCGGCTGTGAGGCGTGGAGCTGTGCGTAGGCCTGCTCCCCTCCAAGGAGGAGCAGGAGGAGGCGAGGAGGAAGGGCTCTCCCTTCTACCCGGACGGGCTAGGCTTCCCATCCCTGGCAACCTACGGCTACGGCCAGCAGGCGTGCGCCGCAACTTGTCCCTGCCCAAAGCTGTGAACGGCGCCTCGTCGCACCCCTCCGCATCCCTCCCATGCATAGTCCACACAAGACGCCAGTGGCTTCTGCTGCCCCAGGCTGAGGACGGCGCCTCTTCACACAACGCCGGGCCCCGAAATCGCACAGTGACAGTCACGCAACACGGCTCCCTCCCCCCCCCCCCCCTAGTCCACCAAAGGTACTACCGACCCCGCCGCGTACTCTGCCGGGCAGCTAAGACGGCTCGGCGTCAGCGTCCAGACGGAGATTCGGCCGTGGGCGGCGGGCTTCCTGACGAAACCCGTCGACCGCAACACGGGGACGTGCGCCGGCGGCTCTCGGGAGTGCGGCTCGCGCATTTCTTTTCTCGAGCACAGTTCCTTCTCATTAGGTGCGCCGGCGGCTCTCGCGGCGCGCGGGGCACACCTTTCGCTCCATTCATTTCTGTTTTTGTAGGTGCGCTGGCGACTCGGGCGGCGGCGCGCTCGCGTTTGTGCAGGACCCGAAGGGCAGGGGGATCCGCCAGTTCCTCGTGGGCGTGCAGGCGGTCACGACTCGAAGACTTGAACAATTTGAACTCGGAGGTCCCGCGGGTGATCTCGGGTCAAGCTGATCGTGCCTCGTTTGGTGCGCGAGCAGGCGGTCGCGTCGCTGCCGTGCGAGGAGAACCAGCAGGCGCCACTAGCCCGCTGCACCCCCTCCGACCATAGCTTGGCGCCCACCGGCTCGTCCTTGGCGGCAGGTCTTCGTCAACCCGGCGGCCTTCTCCGAGTTTCTGCTGCAGGCGAGCCGGGATTTGGGCTCGCCGCTGCAGCCGACCATCAACTGGAGGGAGTACTCCTGAGTGATCGGAGGCACAGTCGTAGAGCCGAATTATGTTCGCCCCGCCCAGTGTCGTGCGAGGAAGCGCGCCGGCGTAAAATTCTTTTTGCCCGCACTTGCGCAAGACTTGGAGCCACTCGCTTGCGTTGATCTCTTGTGCGTTGTAGACGGTGATCGGTGACGGTGTGCGGTTGGGGCAACCAGGCAACCCCGCTCACATGACACATCATACCAACGGCTTTACTCTATCCAGGGCCCCTTGGGCCAGGTACCATCTACCAATTTTGTCGAATTTATTTCAAAATCTGCAGGCGCGGAGCGCCTGCGAAAATTTTGAAGAAATTTGCAGTCGGGCCTGATTTTCATCTGCCAGGACTCTGTTAGGACTCTGTCAGGACTCTGCCATGACTCGGTCAGGACTCTGTCAGGACTGTCAGGACAGGTGCGGGAGGTCCACAAACCGTTTGAGAACACACACTCCTCTTCTCCCTTTGCAGCCTTATTAAGCAAAAGTGCGTACACAGGAGAGAGAGATAAGCTAAAAAAGTACAGTACACAGGTTATTGCTCCCCCAAAAGTGTACATCGCCATTGGACGCTCTGTGCACTGTGGCCCGCTGTGCAAAGCAATGGGTTGGCGGGCCGTTGACGAGGACAGCGCAGCAGACAGTCCGGACGCTTCCCACCCTCTATCCCCGCAGCACTCGACAGCCCCCCCCCCCCCCCCCCCGCAGATCCGACGCTGGAGCGCCGTGCAAAGCAATGGCGGGCCGTCAGAGCTCGCAGACTGACGCTCCCCTTCCCTCTAACCCCCGCCGCAGCACTACATCAGTGTCCCCCGGCCCGCAGACGCTCTGTGGCCCGCCGTGCATGGCAGGCCCGCACAGCAGACTCGGGGAGCTCCCTCGGCGTCCGTAGGCTAGCACGGCAAGAACCCCCATACTGTCGGCGTATCTCCTGAGGCGATGCACTAGGACTAGCCACGCATCGGGAAGGAGCACGTGGGCGTCGAGCCGAGAGCGCCACAGTCTTTGCCGATGTAGTAGAGCTGCAGGTGGACAGACTCGACACCGGAGAGGTCGAGTCCGTTGGCGGAGCCGGTCGAGCTGCTGAATGTGTTGACCTATACACGCAAGTCAAGGCAGTGCTCGTCAAGCACCCCCGCGTGGATGCGGCAAGGATCCTTTAGCTATTCACCGTCCAGGTAGTGTACATCGCGGCTTGATTGAAAGGCGTGTTCGACATGGAGGAGAACTCCGGCCTGCGGCCAAAGTACTGCGCCAAGTTTCCCGAAGCCAGGGATGAGCACGCCAACTCGCAGTTGCTGTATTGGGCCGGATGACATCCCTTTTCCATGGCCTTTCGGCCGTGGCCGCAGTCGCAGAATCCGCTCCAGCCAGACTCGATCGTCGTGGTGCAGCCCTTGTCGTTCCGCTGCTCGCGCGATCCGTGCGGGGAGCAGCCTCCAGTCTGCTTCCAGCCGAGGCAGCCAGCGCCGGTGCCGGTGTCGACCACGAACGGTTTCGTGGAGTCCTCGCATCCGGACCCGAGGGCCCCGTCGCGGTTGAGCTGCTCCACGCGGCATTGATCGAAAGGCAGAAAGCACTGCTCCGCCGGCTTGAACGCGTAGCCATTGACAAGTTGCGAGGACGATTGCACAGGGCACTGCCCGCATTCTTCCTCACGATCCCCCCGGCGGAAGTCAGGGGCCACCTCACGATAGCCATTGACAAGTTGCGGGGTGCCCCATACCGCATTGGTCATCGACGGCCCGAGGGGACCCGTGTCGAACCAACGGCAAAAGCAATCGAGGGGAAAGACCGAGGCGGGTGCGTTCATTGCGGTGAGCCAGTTTGCCTTTGGCGCATTGTCGCTTCCGTCCAAACCAAAGAGCGGCTCGTAGCAGTCGATCACCTGGACATCGTTCACGGATTCGGTGTCACGGCTGCAGCAGCGCGCCGCTGTGACGCCGGTCTGCTCCTTCAAGTAGAGGCCGGTCAGCGTCGGTCTCTCCGCAGGGCAAAAGCGAGGCGGTTCCAGCGATCGTGATTGCAGACCGTGGAGCTCGGCAACGGCGTCGTGAGGGCAGCTCGTGGTGGCAGGGACGCGTGTGCACCAGTTTTTCCACTCGTTGCGCATGCAGCCTCCTGGGCAGGTCATGCAACCTAGACGTTCGAACAGGTTCTCGGGCGATAAAGAGCAGCACCACTCCACGCTCGGGTCACTTTCTGGCCACACACGGAGGCCGTTGTTGCGATCCAGGCACGGCCCCAGCCATCGGCGAAACACGAAGTTGCCGTCCGTGTCGACTGCTCCTTCACGAACTCGGGAGTGGATCGCCGAGTTGTAGCGGTGTTTCTTCGACGGATCGTCCACCAAAAACGTCTCGCAATTCTTCAGCGCCGCGCTCGGGTGATTCGGGTCCTCGCAGCACTGCATCTCGATCGAGCCGCGCAGCGCTGCATCTTCAAATTGAATGCTATCGACAAACGTGTTGCCGGGACAGTGAAGCCAGCCGTCCGAGAAGTCGGCCTTGTCCGAACCGAAGGTGATGCATGATCGCTCGGCATCCGAAGACGCAACCAAAGAAGCAGCAATGAGAATCCGGCACACGGCCACGCGAAGCATGTCGTGGGCGGCTCAAGCTACGGCTTCGCAGCGGTCGAGGCGGCCGCGGACAGCAAGCGCCGTGGACGGGCCGAAGCACTCACCTGCGAGCGGACAGCGGAGAGCGTGGACACAGGGAGGTCTGCACAAGGTCGAACAGCCTCGGGCCGAGGGCGTGGGCGGCAGCGCTGACCTTCACGACGAGCGCACCCACGCCAAGCTGCACCCCTTCCAAGCTGTACCCCTTCCAAGCTGTACCCCCTGGACCTTCCAACCTGTACCCCTTCCAACCTGTCCCCCCACCGTTTCTTTTTGCCTTGTCTGTTGTGTGTTGTTTGTTGTGCCCTTGTTTGTTCTTCTGGTGCCTTGGAGTGCTGGGGGGGGCGACAGGGAGGATGTGGCCCTGAGTTATGTGTACGCCTACTCAGGGTGTGTGGCAGCCAGCTGGCTGTGTGTCTTGTGAGCCTGTTTGTGTCTGTGTGTCGCTCGTGCGTGTCGTCATCATCTGTCTAGCGTCCACCCATACCGCGTTGGTGTCCAGTCCGAGCCTGGCTGTTCTTCACCTTTCTACCTACCTACCTACTGTGTGTGTCGCCACCGAACCCGCCCCCGCCACCACCCTCGCCCCCGCCACCATCCCAGCCGCCACCGCCACCCTTGCCGCCCCCCACGTTGCCTCCATGAACGGCGGAGCTATTCTCGCGCCCACACCACACCTGGCTCCAACGTGGACACGCCCATAGCTGGGGACACTTACTAGGTCACGCATGGCATCAGAAGTTTTATCTCTGGGCCCCGAAAGGCATCTCTAGCAGCGTCGTTACGCATGCGCCCTCCCCTCCTGGGCGCATGCGCCTCACATCTCGCCAGAGCATAAGCCCTTGGTGTGCCACGAGATGAGTCTTTCGCCATCGCCGCGAGCAGCAAGCCGCCCGCCGCAAACAGCCGGAGGCATCGCCACGCACACACCTCCGACCCCAGGGCCTAGGCGGCCCGCCATGAAATCTAGCCGTGTGTGCTGGCGTCCGGGTCCCAGCGGGTTTTCACGTAACAAGTACACACACACACACACACACACACACACAGTGTGAGTGAGTGAGTGAGTATCACACACACACACACACACACACACACACACACACACACACACACACACACACACACACACACACACACACACACACACACACACACACACACACACACACACACACACACACACACACACACACACACAGCGGCCTACTGCTAGCCTTTGCACGTCTTTTTTATCTGCCCGAGCCGGTTCTCTGAAAAGCATGCTCGCTGGCGCGAGGTTGCTGCTGCTGGTCGGCTCGGCGGCCGCTTTCGTGGCACGCGGGCCGGCGCCGCTCTCGCCGCACGCGCCGGCGGCGGCGCGCTCCGGTGCGGTCCTCGCCAAGAAGAAGGCGGAGGAGGAGGGGCTCTACTCGGACACCGTCTCGCTGCCTCAGACGTCCTTTTCGCAGCGGGCGATGGCGGCGACGCGGGAGCCGGAGCTGCAGCAGTTTTGGTCCGAGAAGCGCGTCTACGAGCGCCTCTGCGAGACCAATCCCGGCGAGCCATTCACGCTGCACGACGGCCCGCCGTACGCCAACGGCGACCTCCACATCGGCCACGCGCTCAACAAAGTGCTCAAGGACGTCATCAACAAGTACCAGCTGCTGCGCGGCCGCAAGGCGCGCTTCGTGCCCGGCTGGGACTGCCACGGCCTCCCGATCGAGCTCAAGGTGAATCCGCCGCCGCTCTCCTCTGCTCTCCTCTCGCTGCCGCTCTGCTCGCCGCCGCCGCCGCCTCTCTCCTCCCTGCCGCCTCTTCGCTCCCCTCCTGCAGCCGCTCGACACGCCCCAGCCCCCTCTCACCCCGCTCCGTGCCGCCCCCTCCTGCCAGGTCCTCCAGTCGATGAAGTCCAAGGCGTGCCGAGAGCCTTCTAGCGCGAGATTACAATCTCGCTCACAGGAGCCGTCTCTCGAGAGCCTTCCGTGCCGAACCTTCTCGGAACCTTCGTGTAGGAGCGGCAGGCGCTGACGCCGATCGATCTGCGGAAGAAGGTGGCCACACTCCACACACACACACACACACACACACACACACACACACACACACACACACACACACACACACACACACACACACACACACTCTCCACATACACACACACACACACACACACACACACACACACACACACACACACACACACACACACACACACACACACACACAAACACACACACACACACACACACACACACACACATCGCACACACACACACGCACAGAACCTCAAGGCGGGCGATGTGCATGTTCTTGCCCGGGCCTCCCCTTGCCCAAGGCGGCCGCCTTTGCGCGGGAGACGGTCGACAAGCAGCGAACCTCCTTCCAGCGGTGCCAGCTGCGGGCGGATCGGCTTTCGCTCAGCCGTCCCAGGGCGAACTGCTACTTGTTGGCGGCCGTAGGTGGGGCGTCTGGGCGGACTGGTCTGCGCCCTACCTCACCCTGCAGCCAGAATACGAGGCGAGATGGGCCGAGAGGAGCCGAGAGGAGCCGAGATCTGCCCAGGTTCGCCCAGATCGTCTCGCTTCGCTATTCGGCCGCAGCAGCGTTCCACACCTCTCCCCACAGGCGGCGCAGCTGGGAGTGTTTGGGGCGATGTTCCTGCAGGGCCTCCTCCGGTAGAAGCTGAGTGACTGTTCGCATTGTTTGACTCCAGCCAGCGCTCCAGGGGACACGGACCCCACCGTACTCCGCCGCATTCAGTCGCATTCAGTCGTACTCACGGCAGTCGTAGCCCCCGTGCGGTCATGCGATGTTCTATGTGGTGAGTGCACATTGCACAACGCCGTATTCGCACCCTGATTTCGGTGCTTTCATGACGCAGGCCACATCTACCGCGGCCGAAAGCCGGCGCCCTCTGGTCGCCGTCCCTTTCGCACCGCTGTGAACGGCGTCTCTTCACACCTGGTCGTGTGAACAGGTGCACTGGTCGCCGTCCTCTCGCACCGCGCTGGCAGAGGTCTCGGCATCCGGAGGAGTGCAGCGCTCTAGATCAGTAATAGTTCTTCACTCGCCCATGCATGTCTGTGATAGGCGGAGTTGGAGTACCCGGAGGGGTTACAGCTCTCCGTTTGCGATGCCGCCCACCCGCTGTGAACGGCGTCTGATCACACCGGCTGCCGTGAACAGGCGCACACCTCTCAGTCCAGCTACGCTTCGGTTTCACGCACCTGACTTCTTCACACCCGCTGCCGTGAACAGGCACACCTCTCAGTCCATCTACGTTGCCTTCGACGCAGAGAGCGTCAGCGAGAGTCTCGCGCCATACGGCCCGGAAGGCGAGATGCAGCCGAGATCGCAGCGAGATTGAGCCGAGATGAGGCCGATCTCTGAGAGTCTGGAGCCTCCTGGCAGATCGCCATCCGCACGCCTCCACTCATCTCTTCACAGCGCAGCTTGTGTGACTTGGTCTAGCCTGGCTTGCATCGAAGTCACGCCGGAGCATGTGAGCAGGCCTCCGCATCGCTATCTGGACCACCACGCCGTGGACCATCCCCGCGAACCTCGCGGCACCGGCCCGTAGATGCCGGCAGGCAGACGCGCTCTCGTCCGAGCATCACTCTTAGCTTTGTGTGTTCGCGCGGTGCTATGGATGTACCGCCGCGGTCCCGTCTTCACGACACTACGACCACCGCCGCGTTGCTGCAGAGCCGCATTTCCGAGGTGTCCGTGTGTGTGTACTTCTTTGTTCGCACACCGTTAGGTCGCCGTCAACGCCAACCTCGACTACTCCGTCGTCGCCGCCCCGCAGAGCGCGGGAGGCGGCCGGCTGCTGGTCGCGACGGAGCGGAGCGCTAGATGCGGAAAGGAAGCAAGCAAGGAGGCGGGACGCAGTCAGACCAGCGATTGGGACACCAGTGTGGTGTGGGTGGACGCGCGAGGCCGATGACGGCCACTGGAGCGGCACGCAGACCACACAAGACAAGACCGTCAGATGCGGACTACAGATCGGAGCTCTCAGTCTCGCACTGGAGAGCGCACGCATGCACACCGCTGGCACTCAACTGCGTTGCGCGGCATCCCGCGGCTCTCACAGCATCCGTCGCATTTCCCTTTTTGAGGCGCTGCAAGGCGCGAGACGAATCTGCACACCTGGACCTTGCGTGTTCAGACCGTTAGGAGCTGGTTGGGTCGCTCACCTCAAAGCTTGGCTTGGGCGAGGGAGAGGCGCTGGAGGTGGCGGGCAACCCTCAAGGGCGGCGAGGCGGTGAACGGCGTCTCTTCACACGAGTGGCGGTGTGAACAGGTGGTGGCGACCCTCAAGGGCAGCGAGCTGGTGGGCGCCGCCACGTACACACGCACCCGCTCGCCGAATTCGGCAGTCAGTCAGTGTTGCACAGTCCAAGGGCAAGGAGGATGGGGCACTCACTCTCGCACCCCTCCCACGGACTCACTCATTGCCACGCGCACCGGCCCTTTCACTTTCAATGCCGTGGGGCTCCTGTCTTTTAGACGTGGAGTCGCGAGGGATGGCCTTTGCCCTTCCCGCACCACCTCGTGTGCGTGGCGAAGTTGACCTCACAACTGGCTTACCTGCTCCGACAGGTGGGCACCACGTACACGCACCCGCTGGCGGGGCGCAGCTCGATGGTTGTGGAGGGCGGCGACTACATCACAACAGAGTCCGGCACCGGCCTTGTCCACACGGCGCCCGTGTGGGCCACACGGGCTAGGAGGACTACCAGACAGCGCCTCGATCACGACAATGAACGGATTCGTGGATAGGCGCCGGGCCACGGTCAGGAGGACTACCAGACGGGCCTCAAGTACGGCCTCGAGCTGCTCTCGCCCGTGGACGACGCGGGGCGGTTCACCGATGAGGCTGGAGACGGCCTCGCAGGCTTGAATGTGCTCGGCGACGGCAACACGGCGGTCATCGAGAAGCTCAAGACGAGCGGCAACTTGCTCAGCGTCGATCCGTACCAGCACAAGTACCCGTACGACTGGAGGACGAAGAAGCCAACCATCTTTCGCGCCACGTCGCAGTGGTTTGCGTCGGTCGACGGGTTCCGCGACGGCGCCCTCGCCGCAATCGGCGAGACAGAGTGGCTGCCAGCGGTCGGCGAGCGGCGCATCACCGCGATGACGCAGTCTCGCTCCGACTGGTGCATCTCGCGGCAGCGCACTTGGGGCGTCCCGATCCCGGTGTTCTACGACCGGCAGACCGACGAGCCTCTCCTCAACGAGGAGACGCTTTCGCACGTGCAGAGGCTAGTTGCAGAGCACGGGACCGACGTCTGGTGGACGTCGACCGAGGCGGAGCTGCTGCCCGAGCCGTACGCCTCGGACGCGGGCCGCTGGCGCAAGGGGACCGACACGATGGACGTCTGGTTCGACTCTGGCTCGTCTTGGGCCTCGGTGGCGGAGGCGCGGGAGGGGCTGCGCTACCCCGCCGACCTCTACCTCGAGGGCTCGGACCAGCACCGAGGCTGGTTCCAGTCGTCGCTGCTCACGTCAGTGGCGTCGCGTGGCCAGGCGCCGGACAAAGGCCTTGTCCGAGACACTTCCGGGACGCCGCGGACCTCGTTTCTTTTGCTCTCCAGGCGCCGTATAAGGCTGTGCTCACGCACGGCTTCGTCCTCGACGAGAAGGGCTTCAAGATGTCAAAGTCGCTCGGGAACGTCGTCGACCCTAAGCTGATCACCGACGGCGGCAAGAACCTCAAGGCTCAGCCCGCGTACGGCGCCGACGTGCTGCGGCTCTGGGTCGCGTCGTCAAACTACGCTGCGGACGTCTGCATCGGCGACTCCATCATCAAGCAGACCTTCGAGGCGTACCGCAAGATGCGCAACACGGCCCGATTCCTCCTCGGCAACTTGCACGACTTCGACCCCGCCGTCGACGCCGTGCCGCTCGCGGGTCTGCCCGAGCTCGACGTGTACGTGCTCGGCCTGCTGGACGGCCTGCTGGCGGAGGTGCACACGCACACGCACGCACACGCACACGCACGCACACGCACACACACGCACGCACGCACGCACGCACGCACGCACGCGCGCACGCACGCACGCACACACACACACACACACACACACACGCACACGCACGCACACACACACACACACGCACGCACGCACGCACGCGCGCGCGCGCGCACGCACGCACGCACGCGCGCACACACACACACACACTCACCGCTCACCCACGCGCACCGGGCCTTGCTCTTTGAACGCCGTCGGGCTCCTGTCGTCTAGACGTGGAGCCGCGGAGGCCCCCCCCTTGCGCCACCGCCACCGTGTGGAGAAGTTTCCTAGACGTTTCCCTGACCTGACCTCACCCAGGTGCGCGCGGCGTACGACGCCTACTCCTTCTCGCGCGCGGTCGGCGCGCTCCAGCAGTTCCTCGTCTCGGACCTGTCCAACTTCTACCTCGACGTGTCCAAGGACGGGCTCCCGCGCCGCGCCGCCCTCCGAGCCACTACTCGGTCACTCATCGCTCCTTCTTCACTGGTCAGGACCGGCTCTACATCGCGGCGCCCGACGAGCCACGCCGCCGCTCCTGCCAGACGGTCCTCTCCCGCGTCGTGGAGTCCGTCGCCGCCGCCGCCGCGCCCGTGCTTCCGCACCTGGCCGAGGACATTTACCAGAACCTTCCCTACGCGACGCCGCACGCGTCCGTTTTCGAGGCGGGCTGGCCGGCGGCGGCGCCGGCACAGGGCGAGGAGCGGCGCGGTCGCGCGGCGTGGGCGGCGGTGCGCTCGCTGCGCGACGAGGTGAGTTGATCGAGGTGAATCAGCCGCGTGGTTCACGCTGCTTAATTATGAACCGGCTGCTGCTGCGGCAGGTGAGCCCCGCAACCTCGAGAGCTCGGCCGGCGCGCCGAGTTCTTGTTTGCACACGCGGGGCTCGTTTTTCAGGTGAACCGGAACCTTGAGCTCGCGCGCGCGGAGAAGGCGTTGGGCGCGTCGCTGGAGGCCAAGGTGTTGCTGCACTGCGCGGACCCGGCGGTGTCAGAAGCCCTCGCGCGCTGGTCGGGCGCAAGCAACGGCGTCGACGAGCTGCGCTTCCTCTTTCTGACCTCGCAGGTTGAGCTACACACACACACACACACACACACACACACACACACACACACACACACACACACACACACACACACACACACACACACACACACACACACACACCGCTTGCCCACGCCCTCCGGGCCTTGCACTTTCAATGCCGTGGGGCTCCTGTCGTCTAGACGTGGAGTCGCGAGGGACTAGCCTGGCCCTTTCCCCACCACCACCCCGTATGTGTGTGGAGAAGCTGACCCTACCTGACCCTACCTTACCCTACCTTTAGGTCGAGCTAGTTGCCTCCGCCACGGAAGTGAATGAGCCTAGAAGCGGAACACGTCTTCCTCTCTCCCATAGCACTCGAGAGGAGGCGTGCTCAGCTGTGTGCAGCCGTATTCTCAGCTGTATTCATAGCCCTTCCACTTCGCAACGCCGTGCTCCCGCCTCGAGGCTAGCGCATTAACACCGGCGGTGAATGAGCGGTCGCTCTTCAATGAGCGGTCGCTCTTCTCTTCTCCTAGACACTTGCGAGACACTTCCGAGACACTTCCTAGGCCACCGCGAGGCAACTGGACACTCCCGAGACACTGGCGAGACACTTCCTAGGTGACGGAGCGGTCCCTCTTCTCCTCGACGCGCGAGGAAGGCCCCGCCGCGACCGTCGGCATCGCCGCCGCCGACGGGACAAAATGCGAGCCCTGCTGGTGCGTTGGGCCTTGAAGAAAATGGGACCTGACCCTGGGGGGGGGGGGGCAAAAAAACACATTTTGGAGGCCCCCCCCCCCCCCCCCTCCCCCCCCCGGGTTTCTTACCCCCCGCCCCCCGCCGCCCCCCGTCCGCCTCCTTACCTGTTGTTGTATACAGGCACTTCGACCCGCAGGAGCAGTCGCAGACGTACGAGGGCGTCTGCCCGCGCTGCGAGACGTCGCCGAGATGTCGCCGCCTCGCGGGCCGACAAAGAGAAACGCGCGCCCACCTCGCAAGGCTGTGCATAGGTCGCTGAGCTTGATGGGCGTCGCGCCGCGGCAGCGGCGCGCGGCCGCGGCGGCGGGCTACTTTGGCGAATGAGAGCGAGGTCGACCCACGGTCGTGGATGCCACCCGTTGCATCACTCTCGGATGTACTCTACGACGGTCCGCTTTGGCTGGTACCGAGACCGAGAGGCCGCGCGCTCCCCTCACGCGTGTCGTGCTCGTGAGTGGTAACAGGCGCAGAGTGGAGTCCACCTCTGTATAGCGTTTATTCCTTTTCACGGAGCGACACGCCTCTGGTAACGGCTCGCTGCCTGCGGCATGTTACGTCTTACGACTACGAATGCGTTTGACATTTGAGTTTTGTGCCGGGCACGCGCGCCCCCCACACTTACCCGTTACCGCCCACCAGTTCGGGGTGTGGAAACGTACTTTACTCTTTAGCGGGGACGACGACCGGTGACCCGAGGTGCAGAGACGGACACAGATAGGGGAGGGCCTCCTAGCCGCCGCAATCGCACACGAGCATCTGGGGGCGGCGGCCGGAATGCGGCGGAGGCAAACTGCCGAGCTCACCTGCCGAGATTGCAAGAGCTCCGGTCTGGCTCAAGAGGGGACAGAGATAAGAGGTCTCCCGGACGACACATACCAAAAAGTGACACAAGCGGGCGATAAAGTTATGTGTTGGGTTGGGCGGGGTCAACTGCTGCCCGCGGCGGCCGGTGCCTCGCCACCGCCGCCGCCCGCGCCCTCCTCCCCCGCCGCTGCGCCGCCCGCCGCTGCCGACGCCTCCCCACGCGCGCGCTTTTCGGCCTGCTGCCGCTCGCGCTCCTTCTCCTTTTGACGGGCGCGCTTGGCGGCCTTCTTCGACCGCTTGGCCAGTACATCCGCCTCCCGCTCCGCCTGCTCCGCCTCCCACGCACGCCGCGCCTCGTCCTCCTTGCGCGCCGCCTCAAAGTCTGCGATCCGCGCATTCTCCTTCTTGCGGAAGCCGCGGTAGGTGTGGAAGTCGCCCGAGCCGGCGCCGGCCGTCGAGCTCATCACGTTGACGATCGCCTCCGTCTTGACCCCGCTGTCCTTGTCCTCCATCCGCTGCGTGAAGCGGTCGAGCTTCTTCTCGAACTTTGCGAGCGCGTTGAAGTTGGGCTGCATCGAGTTGAAGGAGTCGCGTGCGGCTTTGGGCATCGGGATCTCGGTGCGGTTCGCATCCTCCCGCTCCTTCTCCCACTTCTCCAACTGCCGCCCGCTCACAACCGAGGATGCCATTTACACGGCGTCAGCGGGCTTGGAAAGGAGAAATACGTCCTTGGAGCTTCGCGAGGTGGATATCCTTTGGCCGCGTTGGGTAGCGAGGATTGGTGTAACCCGAGCCACGGAGGCGTGTTTTCTGGCGGCCGACCGTCAGTGCACGGAGTTGCCCCTTCTCCGACTGCCCCGGCTAGTTCCCGAGGCTCGCCGGGTTTCCCCTACGTCACCCAGGACCTAGCGCGGGTGGGTTGGAGGGGGCTCGCCCCGTTCCTCCCCATCGGGCCGCGTGAGCGGCCTCGCCTCGCAGATTCGTTTTTCGCGCCTGGGTCAGGCGCGCGGGGCATCCCCCGGGTCGCTCGACCAGCGATCCGAAGAGTGGCCGCTATGCGAGGCCGAGGGAAAGGGCGGGGCCCACGGGGTACGCCTCCGTCCGGCCCCCTCCGAGGGGGGAAGGGAATTGTGGGGTCCCCACGGGCGCCTCAGTTCGGCCCTCCCGAGGGGGGGGAGGGGAGCAAGGGGGTGGGGGGGTCGGGGCGGTGGGGAGGGGTCTCGGTTTCATGTGGCTAAAACTTGCCTTTCGGGGAGGGGCCTCCGGTCCGTGTGTGTCAAGAATACTGTGTCTTGCCTTGTGGTTCTGTGTGTCGCTCCTGTGTGACCGTCATCGCCCGTCTAGCGTCCACCCATACCGCGTTGGTGTCCCCAGTCGTTGGTCGGACTGTGTTTCGCCTTCCCATCAATCAATCAAGAATACTCACTCACTCACACGAAATACTCGACCACGTTGGTCGCGTAGCCTGCGTGTCAGCAAGGTGAACCCTGCCCAGCCCCCCTCCGAGTCGCGATGCGCTCCCCGCTCCCGTTCCCCTGTGTCCCTGATCGTCCTTACAAGATCCTGCTCGTGCAGGTGGGGACCCTGTCCTTCTCCCACCCCTCGTTTGGCGTGCCCGTTTTATTTATTTATTTATGTCAACAGCGAGGCAACCGCCCTCTCCAGGTAGGTTTGCCGCTCACTGGCCCTCGCGAAGCCGTCCCACTCGTAGAATGGAACGCTGATCACCCTCCAGCCAGCCGCCGCGAGGAGGCGCCGCTTGAGCAGCGTTGGCCCGTTGGGCTTGCGCACGCCCCGGCCGTCGGTAAGCAGGAAGTGAGAGGGGCCATCCCGATCGCGACGCGTGACGAGGGCAGCGCCAGGTCGAGCGAGTAGCCCAGTGCGCGGCTCGAGGTGCTCTTTCTCGAAGCCGTGCTGGACGGCGGCGAGGGCAATCGCGACGGAGCGCTGCAAGCGCGATATCGTCACTAGCGTGTCTTGCATAGCGTCGCAGCAGAGCTTACGCTGAGACTCGGAGAGGAGATGCTGCTGCCCGTCTACCCCGCGTTCCAGAGAGAGCCAGAGCTGCCACTGGTGCAGCTGACGGCGGTCCTCCTCGCTCCACCTCGACGGATCCCGCGCGAGCGAGTCGCTGATCACGCGCGAGCAGTTGGCAAGCAGCGCCTGGTGATAACAGTCTGCCGTCGCATACGCCCACACCGTGTTGGCTAGGGCCTGAGGCTTGAAGCCAGCCAGCCCGCCGCGCACCGCCTCCTCGTCACGCCACGCCCACGCGTCCGTCTCCTGTTGTGTCACGCCACGCCCACGCGTCCGTCTCCTGTTGTGTCGTCAGGCATGGGCCGCGTGGCTTCTGGACGCGGTCGGGCGATCTGAGGCCCAAGTAGGCGAATGCATTGCCCATCCAGGGCTATCACCTGGACCTATCAACAGGCGCCTGCGGCGCCGTGCTCGGGAGTTGGTTTTCACTCGCTCGAAATGTGTGCCTGCCAGGGTTAATTCTTTTCCACCTGTGTCGTTTGCAAAGTCGATCGCCTTGGCACACTGCCTTTTCCGCCTGTGTCCTTGTCAAAGTCGATCGACTCTCACGATGGGCTGCTTAACCAGCCGCGTCGAGGCCCCGACCGAGGAGCTGCCCGGCCCTCCCGCCGTCGAACTCGACGCCCCGACGCCCGCCGACACCGCCCCGCCAACGCAGCCGGCCGACGCCCTCCCCTCCGCCACCGATCTCGGCGTGAGCGAGGGGAAGCTGGAGCTGTGGCGCAAGCTCGGCGGCGGCGCCCTCGAGCCGGTCCTCGCGAGCGGCGCCGTCGCCGTCCTCGACGCGCAGTGGGTCATCAGCCACGCCGAGGCGGGCGGCGTCCTCTCCCACCGCCAGGCGCTGCCCAAAGAGGCCTTCCTCTCTTTCGCCGACCTCGTCGAGGCGACCACCGAGTATGGCAGCCTTCCCGTCGCCGCGCTCTCCTACCCGTGGCTGACCAAGGACCACCCCGACCCGCGCGGAGCCAACCTCGCCCGCGTCGCGAGGGCGCTCAAGGCCCTGCTCAGCGACCATCCCTCGCTCGGCAAACCCCTCATCCCGCGGCTCGGCGTCTTTTGGGACTTCGGCTCGCTGCACCAGCACCCAGACCCCCCCAACGGCGTCCTGCGCACCGAGGAGCAGAACGCGCTCTTCAAGCAGGGGCTGAGCTGCCTCGGCACGCTCTACTCCCACCCGCACACATACGTGCTGCGGCTGACCTCCTTCCCGGACGGCCACAAGGCGGAGGACCAGCCGGAGGGCACCAACGTGGCCAAGTACGTTGACCGCGGCTGGTGCTTCACGGAGCAGTGCTGGGCTGGCCTGACAAAGGCTGGCGCCCTCTCGCTCGACCTCGGCAAGATGCGCGCCGGCGTGGAGTACGACTGGAACAGCCTCACCGACGACTGCACCCAGGACGGCGGCCGGCGCCCTCCGCTGCTGCCGTCTGCGTTCGCGGCGGAGCTTGAGAAGAAGAGCTTCACCAACGGCAAGGACGACAAGCCGCTGGTGAAGCGGCTGTACGAGGCCGCCTTCAAGGAGCAGTTTGGCAAGGCGACCGAGCTGAGCTACATGGACCTCGGCTGGGGCGACGCGGAGGCGGCGCAGCTGGCGGAGGTCCTCGCGAGCGGGGCAGCGCCGCGGCTCGAGAAGCTCTATCTCGACTATAACCACCAGATTGGCGACGAGGGCTGCAAGGCGTTGGCCACCGCCCTCGGCAAGGAGGGGGCAGTGCCGCGGCTCGAGGAGCTCTCTCTCGACGACAACGAGATTGGCGACGAGGGCTGCAAGGCGCTGGCCGCCGCCCTCGGCAAGGAGGGGGCAGCGCCGCGGCTCGAGGATCTCTATCTCGGCAACAACGAGATTGGCGACGAGGGCTGCAAGGCGCTGGCCGCCGCCCTCGGCAAGGAGGGGGCAGCGCCGCGGCTCGAGGTGCTCGATCTCCTCGGCAACAGGATTGGCGACGAGGGCTGCAAGGCGCTGGCCGCCGCCCTCAAGGAGGGGGCCGCCCCGAGCTTGAAGGCGCGAGACGCCCCCCCCCTCGCCACTCGCCCCTCCCCCGCCCAATGCTCATCGCACATCCCCTCGCGTGCAGACGCTCGTCGTGGACAACACGGAGCAGCCAGAGCTGGTGGCCGCGTGCGAGGAGCGCGGCATACTACAGCCCCGGCCTGACTGAGCCTCTCCAGCCCCGGCCGGGCGGCAAGGGCGCGGGTTCCTGCGGGACCGCCGCGCGCGCAGGCAGAGAGCGTTACAGACCGGCACGGCCGCGTGTGCAGCCAGGCAGAGAGTAACAGACCCTGCGGCTGCGGAGCACGACGTACAGGGGTGCCGGGCGCGCGCGGGTGCGGGTTTGGTGGGCGGGCGGGCGGGTGGGTGTTGATGGGGGCGGGGCGGGGGGGGAGGGGGGGGGACAGGACGGCGGACAGGGACAGTGGGGGCGCGCGCGGGTGGGATTGGGGGGGGGGGGGGGGGGCATGGCGGGGGAGCGGTGCAGCTGCTGCTCAGAGGGGGGAGAGAGGGCGGTTGCAGCCTGACGCAGGAGCGGTGCCCGGTGGAGGCAGGGAGCGGTGTCCAGTTCGCGTAATTTAGTCCTGGGGACCGGCGCGCCGCGGCATCTCCTTTGCGTTACGACATACGAGTTTGCAAGTTTGTGGATTCAACCCATGTCCAGTCCGAGCCTGACTGTTCTTCACCTTCCTCATACTACCGGTAGATAGACGCTCATAAGCGGCGTGCGAAGGAGTTCCGGTGTAAAATACTCGACGCGCGCGTGACGGGATTATGGCCTTTTTTTTGAAGCGCAATCACGATGTAACGCCTCCTGCGACGTCTTTTACGTGTGGTCTACAAAAAGCGCTGGCGCGCGGACCCTCACAGCTCACAGCTTGTGGGGCTTCGGCCGCGCGGAGGCGCAGCATGACCTCGCACCGCCGGCATGCAGTACTTCTGCTGCTCAGCGCCCTCGCGGCGGCAGGGCAGACCACCGCCGTCCTCTCCGACGAGCCGCGCATCTTCCTCCAGCCGGGCTTCCTCACGGAGGAGGAGTGCGAAAAGCTCATCTCTCTCGCGGCGTCGCGGCTGGAGGTGCCGCTGCTGCGCGCTGCGGATTCCGACTTTGAGTTGATCGAGCCCTCGAGCGAAACCGCTGTGCACCAGCGGGCCATCCTGGAGCCCGACTGGGAGCTCGAGCTCCCCTGGCTGCAATCGATTGTGAAGCGGATGCACGTCTTCGCGCGGGTGCCGATACAGCATGGAGAGCCTCTTCACGTGGGGAGGTACCGCGACGACGAGCAGTTTCCTCTCCACCGCGACTCGTTTGGGTCACCGTGGGCACCCGGCTACGTGGATACGCACGGAGGACGGCACGCCACCATGATGGTGTACCTTCGAAATGTCTCCTCGGGCGGTCACACCGTGTTCCCCTTTGTGCCCGCGGGTGCGGAGGTCAGCCAGCTGGAGGAGCCGCCCACGTCCAAGGCCGACTGGGTGCCCCCTCTGGCCCCCTTTTGCGAGGACGAGGCGCTGCTGCGCGTCAAGCCGGTGGCGGGCACCGCGCTGCTCTTTTACAACCACGACGTGGATGGCTACTTCAATCCGCTGAGCATGCATGGCGGGTGTCCGCCCGGGCCTGGAGAGGAGAAGTGGATCGCGCAGCGATGGTTCTACCAGCGGCCCTCTCGAGTGGGGAGGGGCGTCTATGGCGACGTCTACAGGTCGCCATATGCGCACCGCAGCGCGGACCTCGACCCGCGATGCAAGATGTGGGCGGCGGACGGGGAGTGCCTCAACAATGGAGACTTCATGAGCAGCGAGTGCGCGCAGTCCTGCAGAGAGCACGCAGATGCCGACTTGGCTCAGTCGAGCGTCAAAGACGAGCTGTGATGAGCGCGGAGCGCTTCATTCACTCAATACGGGTCGTACAATGCGAGCGATGCGCGAAGCGGGCGAAGGTGTACATCTTAGGCACCGTGTATCTCCGACCGCACTACGCCATCATATCTAGCCGTGTGTGCCGGCGTCCCTCGGCCCCAGGGGGGGGGGGGGGGGTAGCGTTTCAAGCCCACCAGTAAAAGTAAAAGTTGCGCACCTATGGCGACGTTGCGAGCCTACTCAGTAGGTAAAGGACCGGGCGACTGTCTGACATGGACTTCCTCGCTCGACAGCAGGCCGCCGTTGAGAGGCATATGGCCTCCTCAGATCAGTGGGCGGTCATGGGGCTGCCCACCTTGAAGCCCATAATATTAAAGAATACAAAGTGGTGACAACCACTGAGTTCTCAGTGGACGACGAGCGTCGACTGAACAGAAGAGCGTCCCCGCGACGCCACACACACACACACACACACACACACACACACGCGGCCAAAGGATTCCACCTCGAGAACCTCGAGCGACATGGATGCATTGGGGAGGGTACCCATTCGGTGCTGGTAGCGCCCTGACGCTGCTGGCAAACCCCGGAAAGTGCGGCAAAAATAAGCGCCTGCACGTGTAGGCGCGCATCTTAGCCAAGGCTCGCGCCCACACGTGTAGGTGCTTGTGTCAGATACGCGCCCACACGTGCAGGTGCGAGCCCTAGCTAACATGAGCGCCTCCACGTGCAGATGCGCATTTGGCGAGCTCGAATATAAGCGTCTACTCGTGCAGGCGCTCGTTTTAGCTAAGAAACGCGCCTACACGTGTGGCCGCGTGCATTGGCTTGAGGTGATATACGCACTTGGTGTGTGATCGATACATTTCTAACACCTTAGGTCTCAGGAGAGCTGGAGAGGGCCGCAGAGGTTGTATTCGAGTGGAAGGCTGAGGTGGGAGGTCAGGTAGGGGTCTGGGCGGCCTACACGTGTGCAGTCCTTTTTGGGTTGACAGTTGCTCAGTGCATGACTTGCCCGGGAGGGGGGAGGGGGGTCGAGGAGACTACAGTTATACGCGCGGCCACACGTGTAGGCGCGTTTCTTAGCTAAAACGAACGCCTGCACGAGTAGACGCTTATATTCGAGCTCGCCAAATGCGCATCTGCACGTGGAGGCGCTCATGTTAGCTAGGGCTCGCACCTGCACGTGTGGGCGCGTATCTGACACAAGCAGCTACACGTGTAGGCGCGAGCCTTGGCTAAGATGCGCGCCTACACGTGGAGGCGCTTATTTTTGCCGCACTTTCCGGGGTTTGCCGACGCTGCTTGAGCTGCCAGCGTCAGGGCGCTCTCGTCACGGTCGGGCGTGCGAGGCTCCTGTGCCTCCGGTGCAGCCGATGCTCAGCCCTCTCCCACGGTCGCGGCTCGCCCGTCACCTCGCCTCTCCGCAGGGTTCATCTCTCGCGCCGGCTGCATCTCTCTGCCGGTCGCCAGCACCCGCGCCACCGACTAGCTGCACCGCCACTCGCGACGCGCCACCCTCGCTCACAGCCTGCATACGCGCTACTCCCGCCGTGCCTTTGCTACCACATGGATCGCATGTCACTGCAAACGCGCCCGCAGCCGCGCCGTAAAGGTCTGCCGTGCTGGCTGACGATCTCACTCTCCCGCTCCTATTGCATCTGCCTCCCGCCTCCCAGCTCACATTTCACGCTGCAGTAGGTGCTCCTGTCGACGCTGCCGCCGCTGCCACTGCTACTGTCACCGCTCGTTTGATAATCGACGCCACGCTTAGCGGCAGCGAGATCCGAGGTTCAGTCAACTTGCCTGGTGCGCTCTTGCGCGTGCCTTCAAGATCCACAAGTCAATTTGTACCAGAAATCCAAAGGTGGTGCAAAATGGATATCTCAAGATTGGCCTTTATTTCGCGCACCTGCTCTCCGCCGCCGCCGCTTACCTGCTGGCACGCCACCGCCCCGCGTCGCTAACTCACGCCTCCCTGCTGCATCTTCGCACCCCTGCCACATGACTCGATCGCCGTCGCTGCTACCGCCCTCTCCGCCGCCCTCGAAGGCGCCACCAGCATTACGGCCGCCTTCATATCTCATTGATGCTGCCACCAACGCCACTTCCTCGATTCTGTGCCGCTGCAGCGGCGAGGCGCCGTCGCCACGATCGCCGCCAGCGCTGCTGACAGCCTCGGAGCGTCGCCGTGGCCGCGTTCTGGTCTGCCCACGCTTCCCTAAAACGTCTAGGACGAGCTCAGAGGCTAAGAGTGCATCCTGTGGGACCATCTAGCTCTACCGGGTCCGCGACGGCGGTCGGCGCACCCCCGTCTCGAACGTGTGTGCTCTCTGTCTGTCTGTCAGCTGTTTCGGCTAAGTCGTTTTGTACCGGATTTCAATGTTAGTGGCAAAACCGCGGAACCAAAAATGGCGTTTAATTTCGCGCCCCTGCTGCGCGGCGGTCCGCCGCCTGCTCCGCGCCGCTTGGGGCGCCTGCGGCGCCCCTGGGCGCGCTGCGCGCGCCTGTTTTGCGGGGGCTACCAGCACCGAAAAATTGCCCATTTTTCTCGTGACATCGCGATGTCCACCCCGCCGCGCCGCCGCTCGCGCCGCCTCGCACCCGCCGCCTCCGCCACCGCCGCTCCCTCGCCAAGCACGCCGCCGCCCGCCCGCCTCCTCGACCTCCCCACGGACCTCCTCGTGCGCGTCGTCTCTCGCTGCGAAGGCCCCGTCGACATCGCTCGCGCCGCGGCCGTCTCGCTCCTCTTTCACGCCTCGCTTGCTGTGGAAGGCATCCGCTTGTGGGCGCAAGAGCGCGGCTTCGAGCTTCCGGCGCAGCCAGAGGGCGAGGGCTGCGCCGTGCGGTGGCTGTGCTATTCGGCGCTGCTGTGCGAGTCCAACCCGCCGGCGAGGGTGGCGGCAGGCGAAAAGCACAGCCTCTTCATCGACGGCGAGGGGCGGCTCTCGTCGTGCGGCTCTGCGCCGGACTGGACTCCAGCCCTGCTCGGGCACGGCGAGGGCGTGACGCGGCTCAACACGCCGACCCGCCTCCCTTCGACGCTGGGTGGCGAGCGCGTCGTGAGCGTGTCGGCTGAACAGCACCACAGCCTCGCCATCACCGCCAACGGGGCCGTCTGGAGCTGGGGCTTTGGAAGCTTTGGCGAGCTGGGCCATGGCGATGGGCAGAACCAGTGGCAGCCGAAGAAGATCGAGGCCTTTGCTGGCCAGCGCGTCGTTGCTGTGTCGGCTGGAGACGTCCACAGCCTCGCCCTCACCGCCGACAGAGCCGTCTGGAGCTGGGGCTTTGGAGGCCAAGGCCGGCTGGGCCACGGCGACGAGGAGATCCAGCTGCTGCCCAAGAAGATCGAGGCGTTTGCTGGCCAGCGCGTCGTCGCTGTGTCGGCAGCAAGCGACCACAGTCTCGCCATCACCGCCGACGGCGCCGTCTGGAGCTGGGGCCTTGGAGGCTGGGGCCGCTTGGGCCACGGCGACGAGCAGCACCAGCTGCTGCCCAAGATGGTCGAGGCTTTGGTTGGGCGGCGCGTCGTCGCTGTGTCGGCTGGAGGCGAACACGGCCTCGCCCTCACCGCCGACGGCGCCGTTTGGAGCTGGGGCTTTGGAGGCTTTGGCAGGTTGGCCCACGGCAATCAGCAAGGCCAGCTGGAGCCAAAGAAGATCGAGGCCTTTGCTGACCAGCGCGTCGTCGCCGTGTCGGCTGGACAGCACCACAGCCTCGTCACCACCGCCGACGGCGCCGTCTGGAGCTGGGGCGGTGGAGCCTATGGCGAGTTGGGCCACGGCGACGAGCAGGACCGGCCGCTGCCCAAGAAGGTCGAGGCCTTCTCGGACAAGCGCGTCGCCGCCGTGGCGGCGGGACGTGAGCACAGCCTCGCCCTCACCGCCGACGGCGCTGCCTGGAGCTGGGGCGGCGGAGGCTGTGGCCAGCTGGGCCACGGCAACCAGCAGAGCCAGCTGCTGCCCAAGAAGGTCGAGGCGTGGGCGAGCCGGCCGCTGACGCCTACTTCCTCTGACAGAGAGGACAGCGGCGGGGAGGACAGTGATTAGGGTAGCAACTCGGACTAGTGGGAATGCTAGAGGGCAGCAGAGGCGGGCGAGTAGTCTTTCTTTCGGCTGAGTCACCCACTGGGCAGACACACAGGGATTTTAAGCGCTTCTTTCCCGAGGGCGAGGGCGAGGCCCGTCTGCTGTGAGAGAGCGTTGTCTAAATTCTTTCCCTGTGTTAGTGCCAGTGCGCGCCAGCCCCGTGCCTAGTGTTGTGAGAGGGAGCCTCACGGCGTGGCGTGTGGCAGCCGGACGACGGTGCAGCGGCGAGCGTGCTTCTTCAGTCGCTCCCGCCGCTCAGCCGCGAATCGGACGGCGCAGGCCGCAGGCGATCGCCACGCAGAAGAAAGCGAGCATCACGGAGTAGAACATCGGGGCGAGCGGGGAGTGCGGTGCAGCGAGAGACTCGCGCCCGTGTTATTCTTTTTTCGTGCTTAGAGTACAGCTTCCTGGAGTGCTACTAGTACCTCATCGCACAAAACTGGGGGACGGGCGCGCACCGGCACGGACACGAGAACCGCGGGCGGGGTGGACGAGCCTCGCTTTGAAAAAAAAAACTGTTCAGTTTTCAAAGGCAAAAACGCCAGCCTACGCCCTCCCCTCACACTGACACTTCTCCCCTATTCCCGTCTTTAGGTTGCGCACATCTCCCAGCGAGCTAGGTTCTCCGCTTTTTCTCCCCTAGTCATCTGCCCGCGCCGCGCGCCTCTGTGGGCGTCTAGTGCAGCCACTGACAGAACTATTCCCGAGGAGTGG